TCACTGTCGAGAAATTGCCCCCCTCCCCTCCTCCTCCTCCTCCTCCTCGTTGCTTCAAAACTGGGTCAAGAATGTGTATGTTTGTGAAACACATCAGCGTTTGGATTCGTATATGTTAAAGACATGTCTGAGGGCGCTGGGTTTACTGTACTGTGTTTGTCGACGGAGGCTGATCCAGCGAAGGGCAGCGCCACGGAGGGAATAAAGCAGGAATGTGTGTGGTCCTATTGCAGACTCTTACATCAGACAGACATGAGTGTACAGTGCACATCCCTCCTGTTCTCCCTCTGTCTTTTTTACACATCCCCACTCTAAATATACTCCTCTGGAAAAACCCCTTGAGAAGATACCGCCCTCTTCCACTCACCATGCTAAAAATATCCTGCCAAGACCACCTTTGCAACCCCCCTCCCCGCCTCCCCGAGTCTTTGCTCCCTTTTCTTTCGGTCCTGGATGGACCGCGGGCCCTTCTCGCTTGTCCACTTGTTGCGCTCAACGCCAGCTCATTATCTTACGCTATTTTCTTTTTTTAACCCCCCTGCTCCTTTCTGCTCCCACCTACTCCTCCTATCGAGCCCTCCGTACGATAGCGGCGCCTTCTCGAAGTCGCCCATCCGTCCGTCCAGTGACCTGCGCCGAAACTCGGAGAACTGATGAATTTTCAGGACAAACAAACATTGGAGAGGTGGTGGATGCTCTTGAAGTGAGCTCATCGCATGGGAGTGAACGAGAGTACAAATCAAGGAGAGGGAAGGAAAGATTAAAAGCAGATACGCTGAAGATATTAGCGGTTTCTATCATCATCATCATCATCATCATCATCCCTGTTTGTCATTCAGGAAGGAAGACATTTTAATAAAGGAGAGGCTCAGAACACACCAGAGGGGAGATGCTATGAAGTCAGAGAACAAATAAAAATGCAGTTTTTCTGCATTTATATGCTTTTAAATCAATCCAGCGAATATTTGTCAGTTAACAAAACCCCCTAAAATCAGCTCTACTTTTGAACACTTTGTATGTTTAGCTGTAACTCGACAGTGATTTACACGGCACAGTATCACCATCTGCACAGCAAATGAGCTGTTGCTAAACTATCTTCTACTCAATTTGAGCATCCTTTTTTAAATGAGCAGCAGTATTTAATTAAACTTTCCTTAAACCGTGAAATCACCTTTTTTTCCCTCCAGCTCAGAGTAGTTTCTGCAGTTTTTTCCTTTAGTTTGCATTCAACGTTGAGGTAAAGCAGCTTAACGCTGATATTTCAGTGGGTTTGGTTTACACGATAACGAAGCTACAAGTCACCGAAAACGATCTGATCTGAAAACTCCGGCTAACGTAGAGATTTAGAAAAACTCTCTTCGTTTACACGTAGACAGGAGGAGTTTGACGTCACGGTATGTGACAAAAGCGTAATCAGCGTCACATGTGTGCGACCATGTTTGCTGTGATAAAAGTCCAGTATTTTACTTGTTTTGTACTCGAACGCCACATTCAGGAGCAGCTCCACTTCTCTGTCGGTCCAACAAACGAGCCATTATCATAAAAGTAACAGAAAGTAATTCATGCCATTCGTTGTTGTGTTTTTTCCAGGATTCTGATTGGCTAGCATGGCTTTTTGCTTCTCGTTACACTGCCCCCTATAGGTCTGGCAGCTCATAGCAGCTCTTAATGACGCGTTCATGTGGGTTTGTGTAAACGTAGATTAGTTGAAAACAATCTGGTGTGTTATTTTTGTAAACATAGATCTGTTTTTGTACCCGGCTACGTGTAAACGTGGCCTGAGAGGGTAAGAAAACAGCTTTATCAACTCCAGTCTTCTACCACCTGGACAGACGCTGCACAACGAGATCTCATTAAGAAAATCAAACTGGGAAATGTCTCTGTGACTGTAAAAAAGAGGAAGAAGAAGTGAACCATCAGGAATAATTATTTAGGATGAAGTTGAGCAACCGGCTTACGGATGTGTGTGTTTTTTTTAGGGAACTGATGTAAAGCGGTGGACTGTACGTGTGGGACAGTAGTTTTCGGTGTTTGTGGTGGTCAGCTGGAGAGGAAGCCTATCTGCGGCCACATGGCGTTTCTGTTCCTCCGCTCAGCCGCTGACATCATCCTGAGTGACACACGGCCGAGCGACTTCCTCCGTCTCATTAATCACTCGCTGTGCTAACAGGCGGCTAACGCACTCGGGCTCCTGCAGCCTTTACAGCTCGCCACCACATTCCTCCCTCCCTCGATAGCCTCCCGGCTCCGGCCTCCATCGGCCCTCTTCCCCCAGCCGGCCTGCCCACTTAGCGGCGACCTCTGACCCCTCCTCAGCCCCCCTACCAGCCTCCTCCCGGCTATAAAACCTCCAAAAAATCCACACTGTGCTTCCTCCACCTGCTGCTCACCTGCTGCACGATCTGTCTTTAAACACGCCTGGAGACACAAAAAAAAGAGGCAGATTTTTATCAAGAGAAGCATGCTGTTTTTTTTTTTGTTCGGAGGCCGAGCATGTACTTTGGCTTTGCTGCGCTTGTGAAACAGCCGTTGGAGGACAGGTGATACTTCTCGCGTGTTATCTCTGCACAGATAAAACTGACAAGAAAGATCATCGGCTCCGGCCGGCTATTTGGAGCTGAACTTCACCCGTTTGAGCGGCAAGGAAAGGGAGCGAAAGTAGGTTAAAGTTGTGGATTCATTTTGCAATAGTTTTCTATGGCTATATGAGGCTGACTGTCACGAGCTACTGTATCTTACATTTTGCATACGACTACTACTGGCTTTATGTGTCACTGAAGCTCACTGAGTTGAGCTGAATGCACAAACAAACGAACGAATGAAACTTGCAGCAACTTTTACGACACTATAAACACACACATGCTGCTCCAGGGAGGATATGAGGGGTCAACAGTAGCTAAAATACCCATAGCTGTATGTAAATCGCAGCCTACACAAGCATAAATCTGCTCCATGTAGCCGCTTCCACCCCCTAAAAGACCGAAACAAACCGGCCGTGGGAAAGCCGGAGACACAGCGTTGCACGAGCGGCGTCTTCGCCTCGCCGGCCGCTTTCTCCCCCAAAAAAAGAAGATTTTGAAATGTAAACTTTGGTTTGTTAAAGTTTGTCAACCAGGTGGCCTTTTCCAAACTTGTAGGCGTCAGACAATAAATGGGTGGTTTAGCGAGTTAAGCCAAGGTGTGCACCGGCTGGGTGTGTCGCTGTGTGTGTTTCCGCTACCCCCACCCATGTGAAGGCTGCAGAGGGTATGTGCCCGCACTCGTGCCCTCTGGCTCTCCGGCTTCCCTCCATTTTGGTGCATGCACTCGCTCAGCCGCCTCCTTTTAATCCTTCATAACTTGCATCTTTTTTTTTCCCGCTTTGGCTAATTTTTCTAGATTTGAGCAAATTATCCGACTCGTTCCCCCCTTTGTCTCTCTCTCTTTTTTTTTTTTTTTTTTTCTGCCTTCTTGCCCTGTGCATGTAGCTGTCCTTATTTGGCTTCTCTTTGAGTGAGTGGGAGAGTGAGTATGAATGTGACTGTGTGTGTGTTTCCTCCTGACTGTGACTCACTGCTTGTCTGACTCACGAGCGCTAACAAAAACACACGGTTGCCATGGGGACGCCTCCCCTCCGCCTCCTCTCCGCCTCCCTCCGTCTCCCTCCGTCTCCTGCTCCCCCCCCTCCCTCCCTCCCTGTCAGTTTCTGGTTTCTACCCCCCCTCCTTGCAGGCATCCCGGGCAGCCCTGGCACTGGTAAACCGGTGGCACTCTTGGGTGGGATAGCGGCGCTGAGGTGCATCGAATCTGGAGGCACAAAAAAAAAAAAAAAAGAGTAAAAAAAACAAAAAAAAAGGCACAGGAGAAAACACGTGCTGGGAAAGTCCAGCAGGAGATAGAAAAGCTAGGGCGCAAGACAAGCAATCATCTGTCATCAGCAGTAAGTAGAAATGCCTGCATCGGCTGAGACGGGCTAAACAGAAAAAAAAAAGTGCCCACCTGTGGCTCTATTCACCGCCTCTGTTCTCGCTCTGTGCTTTTACTGCTCTGAAATTGCAGACTGCTTTGAACTGCGCCTGTCCTTTGATGTGCTGGCGTCACCGCTCGGCCTTGTCGTAACCTCCAGGGAGCTTGATAATGTGCCCACGTGTGGCGTTGCGTTTCGACAAAGATCAGGTAGGGCACTGGATGTACCCGCCGCCTCACGCTACAGAGGTTTGGCCTACTTCCTGGATGCTAAATGCTGGTGGCGTGCCCCCTAGTGGACGGACGGCGTTTAGCTTGCGGTGTTTCTTCATCATAGCCTTGGATAAACGCCACAAGCTACTGATAGATAATATGTTGACTCTGACTGAGCCACTGATGTGTATGAGGTTGCTCGCGGTTACAGTTTTTCCCCTCCAAGGCCTGAAGCTAAGATTAGAGAAATGTCAAATAAATGTTGTTTCCCATCCTACTGATGTCGTTCCAGATTCATCGTGCGAGTCTCAGGTTGGGACCCGCTGAGCTAAACTACCTTTAAAGTGTGAAAAAATAAATAAACAAAACGGTCCTACATAATCCCAGAAAGGTGATTTTTTTTTTTATTTGAGCCCCTTTTGATGATTAAAAAAAACCCAGCAGTAGCATCCTGAACCCGTCTTCCACCACGGTGTGGAAGGAGATGGACAAACTACAAGCCACATGTTGCACACCTGCACGCAGACGATGGAAACGCACACAAACCCACTCTCGAACGTTGCACACGATCCCGCTTTTGACCTCCCGTTAACCTCGACGCGTCCCGAAAGCTCGCAGCAGCTGGCCGGTGGAGAATTCTGAGAACGGGCTGAAACTGAAACTGTACGCCGACATAATCCTCAGCGAGAGAGAGAGAGAGATGGAGGGAAAAAAAGAGAGGAAACAGGGGGAGCAAACGAGACTGCAACCGCAAGAAGAGAAGAAGAAAGGTGAGGTGAGGAGAAAGTGTCAAAGTAGGTCAGAACAAAAATCCACGAGAGAAACACGATGACAACAAAAGGTTGATATATTCAAAAACGCCATTGTCACACTTTATTGAAAAATGCAACCTGCCATATATACTGTATGCTTTTACTGTATATACATCAGCCACAGGAGGAGAGATAGTTTTGCTGTGATTGTCAGAACATACAGAGACTGAGGGTGTGAATGAGTACAAAACCCCCCCAAAAAAACTTCTCCAATCCACTCACTGTAACGCATTACACCAACGCTGCCGGGGCTGTGGCATCACGTATGTACCTCCTCTGCACACACATTGTGCAGCAGACGTGTGTGAGCATGTGTACGACAGCTGTCCCTGCATGTGGAGTAATCCTCAGTAAGCTCCATGGCTCCCACAGTCTCTTCCACTAGATCCTCCAGAGCATCTCTGACCTCACCGAGCTTCTCCGCCCCGCGACCTGCAAAGCTAGCGACGTGCTCCCCGCTTGGTGAATCCCGCAGGGCCTTTAGCTTCAGATACACTCTGGCACTTGTTTATCAAAAAGAATGGGTCGACGTTATGGTAGATAAGGTGTACGCAACTTTCACGTCTCTAAGTTAAATCGAAATGACTCAGCTCAAAGACTGGAGACGGGAGAAAGCAGCTCGACTCCATCCAGCTGTTAAAACTTTCTGAGAAATGTCCAAGATGGAAGGAAGAAGTCGTGCATTTGAATGTACACGAAATGACAAAAGTGTTCCCAGCAAAATAGACCTGGAGACAAATTCTTGCCATGTTTTTGATTAATGTGCGGAGCTGGAAAAAGGCGATTTAACAACTAATTTATAGCTGATTGTATATAGTTTTTTTGTACGAAACAAAATCTTGCAAGTAACTGAAACAATCAATTAAATGTAGTGAAAGTATTTCTGTATACTCAAGTAACTTAAAATTGTACTTCAGCTCTGGGGTCCATTTGCAAAACTTCCTAAAATGGAAAATTAGCATTAAACAACCCCCATAGAGCATGGTGATTAGGGCAGTTTGTTCCCTCTGGACGCAGCGAGGCTAGCTGTTTCCCTCTGTTTACTGTGTTTGTGCTAAGCTACGCTAACCTGTTGCTACCGGCAGCATCATATTCAGACCCAAGAATGACGTCCCTATTGTCTGTCTCTGTATTTCCAAAAATATTCCTTCCTCCAGGACAGTCTCACCCGCCAATGACGCTAATTTCATCCTTTTCCATTTTATTCCAAATCCTACTTGACTATGAGTAAATTCCCCTGAAATTCCTTCCAGTTCTCCATGAATGATTGAAGACTCTGCAATCGTGCTACAATAAGAGTTCAAACATTTTCCTTCATAACTTGCTCTCAGCCTTCACTTCAGCCACTTGCTTTCAAATCAAAAGAACCACAGAGTCTGCCTCTCTTTCACTCGCAGCCGCCTCGCGCTGCCGGGAATAAACCTTCTAATTATCCAAGAATTTCTTTTCTCCCACCTCACCTGAATTAATCTTTGTTTCGGGGAAATTACGAAACGATGAATGAAGTCTGGATCGACGTGCGCTCTGTTTGGTTCGAAGAGACGGTTTGTGTTGGTGGAGTAAGCTTGCCCTCTGCTGCACAGCCTCATCCCACACGCCAACAAACGTCCTCGTCCGTCGGTCGCCTTTGACAATGCGTCTAATGTTAGTGGCGCCTCCCTTTTTGTCGTGCATGTGTGCACCCGAGCACTTTTGTGAAAAGAGGTTAGTGGTGATACACTTATTACAACTGAGCGTTAGACAAGTAGGGGATTATTTCGGTGATGGGATCAGTTAATGTACAAACACACGTAGGATAAACAACCATCCTCTTCCGTGTCAGCGGTTATTACTAAATGCTGGAGGTCTCAACTCTTTCACAGTGATCTTCTGCCAACGTTGGGCCAAAACTCCCACAATATCCACAATCAATATGGTCACAGTGTCCATAAAAGTCTTTAGAATGCAGTCCGCGATGATGGGATGCTGTTTGTTTATAGTTTTTGTTTTCTTTAAATGCTTTTTAAATATAAAAATAGTTGTGGAAATGAGTCTTTGTGAGTAAGGGATGGTTAAAGTGAAGGGGGGTCGAGGCAAATCTGTGAATTCATGTCTGCGGCGCATGAAGGTTTGTGAGACGCTCCTCCCTTCTGAACAGTCTGTTTATAGCAAATTACGTTTTGTTTTTAGTCATTCAGCACTTTGTGTAGTACTTTGAAGGAAGGGGAGCTGTTAAAGTGGCTTCAAAAAGTCAAATCCTTTCATCTTTTTGAGTCCAGCAGCAAATTATCTGTGTGGGTCGTCTCGGTGCTTTCTCTAAGAAAAAGATGTGAATGAGGAGGGACGTTCTCCCATCGCACCAACTGGTCCACGCAGGAGGCCGCAGGGAGCTCCGTCCTTTGGTCTTCGAAGCGTCCTCGGAGGGGGAAGTCTCAGAAATTGCTGAAGAGCTCGTATTTCTTCATCCAGTCCATCTGTGGCGCCTTCTTCTTCTCTTTGGCGTGGATCTTCATCTTCTCCTCCGCCGCCGTGGCGCTCAGAGTCAGGCCCATCTCGGCGAACGGGTCCAGCCGGCCCTCGTCGTCCGCCAGCTAGATCGGGGATATTGTTAAAAAAAAAAAAAGATAAAAAGGGACAGACACATGAGTGGAGGGCTTTCATGTGGAAGACCAAAGACCGGGAATAGCAGCAGGATCCCGACACCCACCTGCGTGCTGTTGCCCTGGCTGCTCAGGTCGGAGTGCGTCGACCTGATGGACTGTGTGGTGGAGCTGCCGTTGATGTGAGGGCTGGGCGAGCCGTTGGATATGGAGGGACCATCGTAGTCTGTGGAAACAATGAACATTTTCCAAGCTGTTTTACACGCTAGTATAATCTTTACAGTCTTTACGCACGCTTATTGCGCAAACAAACAGAGTCTCGGTCAATAAAAACCTTACGAGGGATGTTGTAAATCATTTCTCTTCATCAGATACGTTACGTTACAGGCGAGGTGAGCACACTGAGGAAGAATTCAGTTCAACTTTAATATAGAAGGTGTAAGTTAAAAAAAAGTTATGTCACGTGCATGCACCGAGCAGCAGCTCTCATGACGTTGCACGATCAACACCCCGACCCGTGTTGCATCCGTTTTAGCAAACACCAGGAGTGCATTTGCAGTTTTCTGAGCTACAGAAGCAGCACAGCGTTGACCTCCATGTTCACCGTGATGAACAGAGTTTACGGCTACAACTCGGAGTCTTTGCAATCTCCAAGGAGATGCTTTGGATCCGGAGTGCATCAAGAGCATGCTCATTTACAGGCGTGTGCACCACGAGTTTGGAGTTTTACTGCAATGTTTTGACCAAAAACAGTCGAACTGTGGCACAGTGACACGTGGGTGCTCCTTTATGGCTTTGTGCCCGTTTAAGTTTTTTGGCTGCACCGACATTATCAATCTTTTTTTTCCAGATTTTGCTTCCGGTGAGTCCTTCCGCTCCCCTAAAAAGAAATTTAACTGGTCACAGGATGGACAAAGTAGTTGAGATGGTGCTCACACAAGGACGAGGTTTATAAGAGGTTTGTTCACACCTTTGATGATGTTCCTACAAGTAAGTCGGAAGTCTTTATCTCCCGAATAACTCAACACAGTCAAACCGATAGCTGCTGTATTTTTTTTTATAATTACCAACTACATAGCTCTTTTAACCCTATTCAGGACTTTTGGGGTCTTTTGGACCCCCAGTGATTTGGTTTAGGTGACAGGTATAGTTTTTTTTATTTTTGAAGAGGGACATTTGTCATGCATTTGGAACCAAAAATACGTCAACTTATCAGAAAATGTATTAAACCGAGTATAAAAGTCTATAATGGGGCTGCCGCTATAGCTCAACTGGTTGAGCTGGCGACCCATGTACTGGGCTCTAGTCCCCAACGCAGCGGTCATGGGTCTGAATCCAGCCCATTTGCTGCAGGTCCTTCTCCCATTCTTCTCCCCACTTTCCTGTCTCACTCGCTACTGTCCTGTCAAATAAAGGACTAAAAAATAACTTTAAAAAAAAGTCTATAATGAATACCAACAAACATATTCTTTCTTGGACCCCGAAAGACCTTCTCCATACGGCAACATGAAAGTCCTGAATAGGGTTAAGAAAACTCTACAAGACTTTTTTTTTTAGACAGCTAATCTTTTGCAGTAAACACCTGCTGTGGCTCCACACTGTGGCACATTCGCGACCCTTTGTGACTTCATGCGAGCAGAGCAGCAGTCCCACCTTTGAGATGGTTGACGGTGGGGATCACGCCTCTCCTCTTGAAGTGGTCGTCCGTTTCCGGGTCGACCACCAGCAGCCAGGTCTCGTCTCCGCCTTTCTTTATGAAGGCCACCACCTCCGCGTGCCGCATGCCCTCGATGTTCACGCCGTTCACCTGCACAACAAACAGCGTGACTGTTTCGTAAGTTGGCACGTTATCGTGATTGTGGCTTTCAGGTGGCTTCATGTGTTTCTGAGAGGTTCACCACAGAACTCAGCCAACGACAGCTGACTGGGAAAGCAAGATTTTGTAGATTTGAACACACCAAGATGTGATTACATCGCCACAGTGTTCGCATAACGCCAGATTTTAATCACAGCATCTGGTCAGATTGTGGTTCTGACTCACTGTAACTGATGTGAGATGCTCAAATGAGTGTGTAGCATTAACATCAGCTGATCTGCAAAATGAAACTCTTTAGTCTGACCTCAGTGTCTATGACGATGTTCATAGCTGATGCAGAAGGGCAAACCTTCTTTGATAGAACATAATGCAGAAGATAAAAGTCCTGTCCAGCAGTTGCAGCACTGTTTAGACTCTCAGTACCGTCTGCAGCACATGTAGCAGAGTACGTATCACGATCGGTTGGTGGTGCAAAGTCAAGCTTTCTCTACATTCTGAGCAGCTGCTTAGTTTGTGAAAAACATTGTTGGAAAGTCAGTAAACAACGACCACCATCACTCTCACACACTATGTTTATCTATACAAACGTAAAACCAGAATTTCTCATGAATGGCCCCCCGAACAGCTCAAAATCATCCAGGCTTTGGTCTGAAATACAATCACTGCTCAGACCTTATATTCTTGACATTAACTGTCCAAAAGGATGAATATGTGGCTAATAAATATATTAGAGAACCACCTAATTTGATTCCTTCCTTTGGACATGATTCTTTGATGGAAGCACAAGTCAAAGCTCAGTTTATTTTCAACACCAAACTAACCTTGTTTTTCTTGACGTACTGCAGGCAACATAGTGAGAGCCTGCGTTGCCTCACTCAGCCAGCAGAGGGAGCCATGCAACTACACACCAACTACACACAGTTCAACAGGCCTTGGATGGGCCCCAGTCTACACAATGTCACTCAAACTCTTGTTGTGAGTTCTGAATTCTTGCAGCAGCGATTGAGAGGCGTGTCTGGGACAGATGTGCATGCAGCTGTGGATGCAGCTTTACAATGCGAACTCTAAATGTGCACAAAACGAACACGTCTGTGTAGCAGCGTCGGCCTCATCTCTGTGCATAACTGGTAAAGCACAACAGCCTGTTTTTGCCAGCTCTTATCTAGACGCCGTGTATCAACAACTTTGTCTGGACCCGGGCTGCTCGGCAGGCAGCGGCGCACCACGCCAGCTCAGTGTTGGTACACAATCAATTATTGATGGCTCTCCTGGGCTCCGGCTATAGCGCAGGTTTCAGGTGTCAGTGTCCTGAGGGGGAATTTGTTTAAAATTCACTGCTTATGATCAGACAGGTGCAGTAAGTAGGGCAGAGGAAGGGAACGGAAAATATAAGATCTGCTGGTTTGTGAGAGACAAACAGGACTGCAGGTGAGCAGGTGCTCTGAGACGGACTTTACAGGAAAAGAGAGGAAACATGAGGGCGGTGGGATCAACAGATGGATGATGCAAAGCTCTCCTCATCATTTCATCCCAGGACACATGACAGACAGATCATCAGCGAGACAGACAGACAGACAGTTTGATGCAGAGAGAACAAACATCTTTGTATTTGTCCAAACAGCAGGTGTTGTGTCATGTTTCACAGCCTTCATTATCAGAGCGTCCCACACAAGACAATACACTCTGTTCTCTGCCCACTGGGCTAATTAAGACACGCTGCAGGAACCTGTGCAGGAGCTCATTCCTCGTGGGGACGAACCTTCAGGGAGCCTCTCGATGCATCGCGTCAGCCACCGGAAGTTCTCCATCACATTTGTGTTTTCACGTGTCTAACCCGACCGGGTGATCACAACAAGCACTTTCAAATGCATCGCTGAACATGATGCGTGAGATGTGAGTGACCTGTCACCGGTTTAGCTTCCCAAAGACAGAAAAACACTCGGCTGTCATTGTCTTTGAAAGCTGCTGGAAGCCAAACAAACTATGAAGATGCCAGCTTTCACCTGACGCCTCTAAACACGCTGTTACACATAATTCATGGCCGCCGTGTCGCCTCGGATTTATTCAGAACCTGATTTTCGGTGGATGAATTAGTGGAAATTTAATGTTCCCAGAGCGCTTTGTAAATTTTTCCAGTGGAGACAGTTAGTGGCACTTTTGCTAATCGTGTTTTATGGAGTCGTCTCAACAAAGCACAGCACTCTCTGGCTGAAACACCACATCTGAGTGATTACTATTCATCCTGCGGAGGGCGTGGATGCTTGTAGAAATCACTTTTTCCAGCCAGTCGTTGTTATATTGATGTTATATTTGAGTCGCTGACTGACACCAATCCCAGCACGGCTAACAACTGCGAGTGAGCTTTTTAGGGTTTTCTTCAGTGTCTTGGGCCTAAAAAAACACAACAAAACCTGTGGAAGGCACGGCTGCTTGTAGACATCACTTTTAAAGCCAGCAGTTGTTATATTGATGTTATATTTTAGTCTGACTAAAGTGTTGGACTCTGACTGACACTTCAAATCCCAGCAGGGCTAACAACTAAAGTTCTGGCTGAGCTTTGTCAGGTTTGCTTCAGTGTCTCCGGCCTAAAAAAACACAACAAAACAAGCCCTTTGGTTTGTCTTGTGTCGTGACGTGAGTGGGAGACGGATGATCCTGCAGGTGTCACATCGCTGTGATGCTGTGATGTGGGTTTTCACCAAAACCAGCCCCGAGCGCTACGACTGCACGAGGTTCACATTTGTGCGACCTCTGCCGCCGCGCCGAGGCTCAGCCGGCAGAGCCGAGACTGACGAGGCGTTCACCAGCGTCGGCGCTTCTGCCAAACTTCGGCAGAAAGCTGAGCTCTCATCATGGCGGCCGCCGCTGCACCTCGAGTGTAATGGGGCGTGGTGAGAGAAAAAGACGGCGGCGGACAGAGGCAGATCTGTCATGGTTGTTCACCTCTCTAACGAGCTGCTGACAGATAACACAAGCGCCGTCTCCATGCACGGTCAGAGGCGGCTGTAATTATCTGCACACACATGCACGCTGCAGCCGACCGCCCCGACACCGGGTCAGATTTTACTTTTTGGTCCAAACATAACTGACGCAGTGAGACAAAGATGTTAAGATTTTACAGTATCCCAAAGGAAATTAAGCATAATTACAACCAAACCTTCATGCGAACAGCAAACATGTGTTTCTTTTCTGCAGTAAAACTCCTTTAATTAACTGAATGTGGCCTGATGCTGTCTCGATCCGACTCAGTTTGTGTTTACGTATATGTGAGAGTGTGTCTCCACTCAGAGGACACTGCTGCCACCAGTGACCCGCTACAGGATGTTCCCACAAACTCTCTCAAACCGTCCAGCGTTCCAGTGAAGCGTCAGTGTTTTCTGATGATAAATGTGTCACTGACATGGAAAAAAACCTCCTACAGGCTTCATTTTGATGCTTTATATGTATGTAAATAGTACATAAACCTTGTCAAACGGCAAATTATGATTGTCAGAGTTTGGTTTAAATAGAACAAGACGTTATGCTGGCTGTTTCTGGTTGTGATGCTAAGCTAAGCTAACTGTATCTACTTCCTCGTCTGACTTTTGATGGTTCGCTCATGAGGGAATCCAGGGAAATTTATGCATGTTTTTGAAGAATCATAGCTTTAATAAATGTAATTTTCAGAAATAATACTAATGTAGGGTCCTAGCCTTGATGCACAGTTATTTTTCTCATTTTTGTCGGGTTTTTATCGCTAATATTGGAAGCACTCGGGTAAATTCACACCACAAATAACACGGTCGGCTAATTCGTAATGCTTCTTGCGTTTTATTTCTCTACTGGAAAGCACTTTGGTGCAGTGGATTTAACTTCTCTAGATTTTAACAGGCCGCTCGAGTGTTGGACTCCCACTGAAGGCACCAATTAAAAAGCGTTCTCAACACAGATGCTTAACTGCTAAACCACACATCGCTCATTTTGCTTTTCGGGGGGAAAAAAAAAAAATATCGCATGCGTACTTTGAAGTCTCTGTGAGCTTTTTGTACACAAACTGCTTTGAAAACAGTGAAATCAATCAAACCTTGATGCATAAATAGCGTAGAAACATGGAAAACCAGCAGGATGTTCCTTTACATTTTGGGGTATAATAAATTGTCGCTGCCTAACCTTTCTGCTAGACCCTGCTGTGGAGTCTGGTCTGGAGGCTGACGTACAGCCAGGGAGGACAGAGGTCATGGGAACGCTTGTAATGATGAAGATGTTGCTGCAGCATTTTGCATCTTCATCCTCTGCTGTGTTCTCTCTTTGATGTCCTGATAGGAGACGATGCTTTCTTCCTTCTCTCCTCCACCACGTATCCTTAAGATCGGACTGATTTACAGCTGACCCACTTGCCTGACACACAGCGAAGACCGAGTCCAGACTCCAGGTCCTGCTATCCTCACAGACACATGAATGTGACGTCCGCCGCTTTAATTACAGCTGTGCTAGCACATCTGGAGGGAGGGAGGGGGGGGGTGTCACATCTGCACTAGATCAGAGGCTGCATAAACTGTTGTAAACCTGACAAACCCGCTGCAGCGTCAGGTCACAACTCCCCCGGTAGCTTTATTTTAAATAGCAACTCGTGATAAAGCTACAAATGTTTTATTGTGTTTTTATGAAATTTTTAAAAACATAATGTATTTTTGTTGGTTTCGGTGCACGCTTTGTGTGTAAATAAACTCGATCTGACGCATCGGTTTCTATGCAAACGCTGTCGGTGATGAGCTGCCAGTTGCGTTGGAAAAAAGGGTGGGAAGCTCTGTGTTGATGTGCAACGGAGAAAACAGTGAAGAGAAGCACGGCAGCGATGTGTTTGGAGGTAACAGGTTAGATGTTGTGAGGCTCATGTGCAGAACAAGGAGGGTTTTTGGTACCAGGACACCTGCTACAGATACAGAAAAACTCCATGAACGGGTCGCAGGAGGCCCAGACTAACCCTCCATCACTGGACTGTGTGCATTTTTCATGATATTTTCATTCCTGTATGTGTTCTGCTGAGTCTGGACATCTTTTGCTCGCCTTTTTATGACCCAGATTCCATTAACTTATCAGCACTGCAGAGGAGGATCTCTTCTTCACGTCCTTAGCTTCTCGTTAAATAATCGTGGTTGAAGTTTTATGTTATCTAAAGCTAACGGTTGCACTCGCTCGCTATCTCACAACCGTCCCGATCGACGAATCTGACTAATGTTTTACGACCTCGGCTGGTTGGGAGCAGCAGCGGAGGCCGGGAACGCCCACACAAACGTTTATGAGCCCTAAAATCTTGTTTGGCTGGTTGAAGACTTGCTACGCTGCAATTTTCCACTGACATTTCTCACTAAAACACCAAAATAAGCGTGTGAGCAGTGCATATGCAATTAAGAAGAGCCAATTATTACAAAGTGCACTGGTTTCACTTGCATCCAGCGACGGCACGTTTTCGGTGAAGCTGACACAGACTCATTTTTTGTTTGCAAAATAATAAATCAGCGCATGCAGATGACCTTAAAACGGCCTTTATCTATCGATACAGAAAAGATCTATTAATGCTGCACCTGGTTGCAAAACTATCTGTGTTTGTTTACGTCACAAAAACATTCGATAATCCGACACTAAACCTTCTTTCATGTCGGATTGTCAAGACGGAGGTCCAGATACAAGGAGGGCTTGATGCTGGAAGGCTCATTAATTGCTAATATTTATGTTCATAGTTGTTATAATAACTAGTAGGGCTGGTCCCAATAGCACTTTCTGCTCTCTGGATATTCAGGTTTCTAGTTAATGATGAATATTAGAATATTTAGCACGGTCGAGGAACACTTCCACCCCGGGGCAGCGCTCCGACGGGGTGGAAGTGTCCAGAACACACAGGCAGTACTTGGCTGCTGATGCTAGTTTAGTTAGCGGACACAGTTGTTGCTTCCGTAAACACTGAGCGCGCTCGCTGCGTGTGACGTCGTCGTGTCCTCTTCTGCGCATGCGGGACACTTTTGGGTCGTATGAAGTTCACACAGCAGATCACATACAAGTCGCATTGAACTGGAAACGTGAAGGAACTCACAAAGAAATCCTCATTGAGCATCAAGTCCTGCAGTGTGAACGTAGCCAATCTGTGGGATTGTTCAGTCAGATAATACGCCGTCATCCTGATTGGTGACATTAAATGTCATGTCGGAGTCACAATCCAAGGCTGTCGGTATGTTAAGGCTGTTTTTAGTGGGTTTCATTTGTTTTTCCTAAAAAGTTGTCGGATAGCAAAGTTTTCAGATTGTTAAGGGTCAGATTATCGAGTCATGACTGTAATTTATATCGGTAAGTTTAACTGACTGAAATATATCAAACAAAATGAGCTTTTTCTTTAATGGTTGTCTAATATTTTAGCCATTTCACTTCCACTTTGGAGAAAAAACTGAAATTCTGTTCATATCTGTATAATGCATGTGTATTTGACATCACTAATACACAAAACAAAATAAAAAAAAGGTCCAACGTGCACCGCCACAAGTTACAGCCTCCAATGGATTTCAAGAGCTACATCAACACCTCGCTGTCAGTGTCAACAACACTGGACTTCACTGGCTTTGGAGATCTAGACTTTACTGCAGGATTATCACATCAGATCGTATTATGCCCTCACACTCTGTTCCTACCTCGATGAGTCTGTCCTGCGGTCGGAGCCCGGCGTGGTCTGCAGGCGACCCCGGGTCCAGGGAGCGGATGTACTGTCCGGGCCGCGACCGGTCGCTGTGGAGGTTGAAGCCGTAGCCCGTGTCCGACCGAACCAGGTGGCACAGGCGTGGGGCGAGCTCGGCCGGGTCGCGGGGCTGAGACTGGGCCTGGTTCTGAGCTTCGACCTGGATAACAGCCTCCTAGAAGAGAGTCAGAGGAAGGTTTGTGTGTTTGTTTTCGAATGCCGTGCAGAAGTCATGATGCTGTTTTGCTTTTCCCTCTCAGTGAGGTTTATACAGAGCCTGGTAAAGGTCACGTGTTACTTCTTCTTCTGTGTGGACAGCCGGTGTTTTGGTCCAGTCTCATTATTAGAAACATACAAAGCGAGATGATGTGACACATGAAGCACTTATTTGCTCATATTAAAAGGCTGAGCTTCCACGTCGTATCATCTGGTGAAGCTGTGTTTGTGGAAATGCTAAGTTAGCGCAGAGCGTCAACCCACTGCATGCAGACAGGAGCTGGTCAACGTAACACCCGTCACAGACCAACGAGTCACGGATACACTCATAGTCACAGCAGAGGTGTTAAAGTATCCTGATGCAGCTCAGCCGAAGAAATGCAAATATTACTGGGAGGAAATATTCCAGAGCAACACACTTAGACTTAGTGGGCTCCACGGGTTTAAAGTAAACTGGGTTTTACAGATACATTCACATCACAAACTGTAGAACGGTACATGATCAGCTTTTGTAAGAATTAGCGACCATCTGATGTGGACTTTTCACTGGCTGATGCCAACATTTTTCATAATATACTAACAAATCAGACACTAAACTGAGCTTAAATGAGCTTAAATGAGCTCAGCACAGTGCTCGCTGTGGAAATATCTACAGGTGAGAAAAACAAACAAACTTATGACTGAATGAAGATTAGACACAGCTTTAGTTCACCAAACAAACACATGAATCTGTAGATGAGCAGCATCTCTTGCATCGTGGTTTGCGTACTGTGTGACTTCACGCTGTATGTTCATGTGCAGGTAGCACAGCTAGATGATGTGATCTGTGGAAAATCACTTTTCTACTGTAGCTAGCGTAGCCGCTGTTAGCTCCGGATTACCTCAAAATGGTCTTTCATCGGCTGATTAATCAGTTTATCAATATTTGGTTTTTATTTTCCCAAAAAGGGCTTCAAATACGGGCTGCAAGGTGGCGCAGTTGGTAGCCTCGCAGCAAGAAGGACGCCGGTTCACGTCCCGGTGGGGGCACCGGAATCTTTCTGCGTGGAGTCTCCATGTTCTCCCCGTGCAGCGTGGGTTCTCTCCGGGTTCTCCGGCTTCCTCCCACAAGGTCCAAAAACATGTTGAGGTTAATTGGTGATTCTAAATTGTCCGTAGGTGTGAATGTGAGTGTGCTTGGTTGTCTGTCTCTAAGTGTAGCCCTGTGATAGACTGGTTACCTGTCCAGGTGAACCTGCCTTCACCCTGAGTCAACTGGGATAGACTCCAGCCCCCCATGACCCTAGTGAGGATTAAGCGGTGTATAGAAAATGGATGGATGGATGGGCTTCAAATACTAATTTGTTGAATGTAAAGTTCAGCGAACGTTGGAGAACAGTTCTGCAATAAAACTGTATGTAAATGTGAGATCAGCTGGTCTGGTTAATAGAGCAGAAACACAACAACACTGGTATTTGAATTGCCCTTTCTGAGCATTGATTAAACCCCTAAAAACTAATCTCTGTGTGTCAAAGCTACATAGTTCTAAGTTATTTCCCATGAAAACAATCCCTTCCTGCCTTTAATGGCTCACATGTAACTCTGCACCGTCGCCTCCTCCAGAATGTGCACATCTACGATTACACAGCAGCAACTTGTAATATTGGAGTAATTCAGCCACACGTGTTCGAAACCAATTCTAACGAAGAATAACGACACAGAAAGCCCGTCTCTGCAGGACCAGCTCGTTAGGTTCGTTCTGTACGAGACCCTGTAAGTCTGACTGTTATCGGTAGTTTCAAGCTGGAACCGCTCAGCCTTGGTGGTGACTGCTTATTTGGCTCATGATTTGTCTTCTCGCGTATGAAAAAAACCCACCATCTGGGCATGCTAACAAGGTAGAAAACTTGATTTTCATCGGAGGAGGTCTTTAAATGGAGCAGCATATGTAAAAAGATGGTGCATGTCAGAGTGACACGCTGCTTCCTGCAGAGCCTGCGATGGTTTCCAGAGGCGGGTATCTGAGTCACTTTTTGGTCAACGAGCACCTTTCGAGGCTGCAGGACGAACGCTGTGCACAGATACATGTGGGTGGGCTGCTGCTCTCATGCACTGATGATAATAAGGGCTGCGATTTTACCAAATTACTGGTAAAATAATCACCAATAATTATTTTGGAGCTACACCGTGAACAGTTGTAAACCACTCGCTGCTGCTCATCAGCTTTCCGTTATTTTGTGGCATCGTTCAGCCGTCTGACGATAACAGAGAGAGCGTTTCATTCTGGAGTGAATCTGTCATTTGCAGGCTGGGTGAAGACATTTATAGAACCTGTATAATTGAGCTCCGCAGTGTGATCGCGCTGATTTTCTACCACCTACACACTCGGGAAGAAATGTGGCGCGGGGAGGGGATGGTGTTTGGTGGTCAGCGCCGTAGCCTCGGACCAGGCAGGCAAAGTGGGTGTTGGGTGACCCGCAGGAGAGCATCGCTCAGGTTGTGTGCACACGGACGGGTCTCCAGTCTTATTACGCAACGTGAGATTGTTTCCACCGCATATGCGAAGCTAACACGACGGTCCAGCTTGTGCCGGCTAAAAATACATATGGAGCATGTGGGCAGGGTGAGGAGGAGAGACAAAGGTAGCGGTGTGTGCTGACAGGAGATGAGGGTTGATGACTTATCATTCATTTCCCTGGACTCCATCTCCCCCTTCCTGTACGTTTATTGCAAATGCATGTTTTAAAAATAATCACCAAGCCTCAAAAAATAACACAGACGGCAACATATCATTTCATATCAGGCAGAGAATTCTTGGCAGCCTGCCGACAGAACAACGGAACAATTCAGACCAGGAAGCATCGGCCGGGCCGGGCAGCAGGGGTGGATCCTCCAAGGGAGAGAAAAAATGTATTTAAAATCGCATGTACCCGGGGATCTGGGTGAAGGAGAGGGAAAATAAAATCGAAAACTGCAGAAGGAGGGAGAGGAGGAAGGAGAAAGTGCGTGGGAGGGATTGAAAATGAGATGCAGCGAGCGGGTTGGGAAGCAGAGCTGGAGACGGACGAGTCAGGAGTACGTCGAGAAAACACAGCAGACGGACAAACAGATAAATAGAAAGAGAAAGAGACGGGAGAAGGATCAGAAAGAGAGACGACGGCGAGGAGAAGGAGCTCGCAGTGGAACTCCTCTAACGTAAACAGTGAGAGTAGCACAGCTGGGAGTCATTATGTGGGGGAGACGCAAGTGTCTGCCAATCTAACCTCCGACTGCCTCTCCACGCCTGTCCGCACCCCACTAATCACCCCCCGGGGCCGCTGCCATCTCCTCAACGCCGTGTCCTTGACGCCGTGTGCGTTTAAGACACTTTAGATGTGCTTTTATTTCTTCTGATGTGGGTTTGATCTCTTTAGGCTCAACTGTGTCGGTCTGCTCCACGTCAAATCTGGACAGAAGCACCAAGTAATGTAAAGATTTTAAGCTTTGAGACGCCTGAAGTCAACCTCAGATCATCGGATGACGTGCGGCCGCCGTGTTTGTTTGAACTGCGGGTGTTGAAACTCAGGAAAAATATTTTGACGAGAGAGAACATTTACAGTTTTCCCCTTTTGTCAGCAAATTAGCTTGTCATCAGGAAAACTTTCACTTATCAGCATTCAACATTTTTTTTTTTTTTGCAAAACAGAGTCCCCCCCGTGGGAGGAGCAGCGGCAGGAACTGCTGGGAAAACACAGAATCCCATGTTTTGTTCCAGGCACATGCATGTAGCTCGCTCACAACAAGCTCATGTGGAAAATCCCGCAACCAATCATTTTCTATAACGAAGCAACGAGGAGCGTTTCACACCCACCGCATGTTTTATTTGCACCGACGCACACTCGTGTACTGACCCTGGCGTAGCCCGCCGAGAGGATGTGCAGTGGAAGGGACGAGTGCCATCCCATGAATTCCATCAGTTTCCTGCCACAATCGGCTTTTTGTTTGGGTTCAGTTTCTGTGAGTACATGTGGGGGAGAGAACCCGGTGCACACAAGGCTTGTGTTCGACGCCGTGGTTGGATTGATTGTGAAAAATTAAACGGCGCATGTTTTCTTTAGCTCGATCTGTAACGTCACTCGATCGGGGCAGCAGCTTTAAATTGAATTTTGGGGAAATGCCTGTTTAATATAAAGCTACAGCTGGTAAACAAAAAGATAAGAAAGAATGAGAAACACCTGTCCAAGCATAACTAATACACATAGACTACCTTGCTTGTTTAAACTGTATAAAAACAGAAGCATATCAATGTCACTTTACCATTTTTTTTTAGGTAGATGGAGGGATTTTATATATACTGGAATATTTCTTAGCTGAGAACAGTAATTTACTTTATTCTTGCTGGCTGCCTGGCGTCATTTCCAAACTAATAAACAGTCCTGCTACATAAGCTCCAACCTCCGGAGTAAAGCTAACATCAAGTGTCAAAAGCCGCAGTTCATCAAATGACCACTTGAGGCTCCAAAAGCGAGTCCCTCTCCATAGACCTCCATGTTAAAATGCCCAACTTGATAGCAGAACTAAACACAGCCAGCTGCAGGTAACTTCACTGCTCATTACAACTCAGCCTGGTGCCACCAAAACCCACGTGAATAAACTCAATTTCTTGATATCAGAACGTAGATTTCATGGATTCACTTCAGCGTCCTCTTTTTTTCCGATGTTTTATTTTTAATTTGCACATTTCTTAAAATATGTCCAAGATGTTTGCGTGAACGTACCGACGGGATTGCTGCTTAATTTAATGCCGTGACAATAAAGGAATTCTATTATATTCTATTCTGTATTTTAACCATTTTGATGTCGTAAAATGACACCTGAATAGAGTGAAGTGCTGTTTGTAATCCCATCACATTGGACAACTGTACTGGGATGAATTTTTTATTATATTTTATAAAACTCCCCCGTTTAAAAAGGCCTAAAATTATGCAGAATTAATTGCGT